TGTGTGGGGGTGGGGGGGGGGGGGGCTAAAGAAGAGGTTGACGCTTTTTATGGTTTGATTTGATCACTGGAAGCTTCCTGCTTTTCATTCCCACTTTTGGCCTTTTATTTGGAAAAGTTCAGACCAAACAATGAGCATGGGAGTGGGCTTGCGCGCTCTCACACACACACACACACACACACACACACACACACACACACACACACACACAAAGCATAAACATAAGTCCCAGACACACGCACAAAAATACACTATGTATGTATGCATACACACCCTTAAAAAGACACACACCCACACTCGCACATGTAAAAAAACGCCCAAACACACAACGGACGCATCTGCATACAGACACTTGAAAAAGCTGACAAACGCACGCGCGGGTTGAAGCGAAGGTGTGTCACAGCTGTGGATGTTCTCGGGATTGTGCAATATGAACACGGCGCCTCCGTGTGACACTTTAGAGACTTGAATGATGTCATCGCGCTGAAAATGTGACTGAGGTATCTTTTTGACAGCCGGGAATGTTTTCTGGCTCTTTTGCATTGTCAGGAAAATGTGGCTCAACAGTCACAGGCAGCAATATTCCCGCCGGCGCCGTCTTGTTCTGGACGCCCTTGACTGGTCGCCAGCCAATCGCTGGCTGCAAATTCACCTCATCGCAGATTTTTAAAACATTATTTTTAAACATGTCCACCGCTATTTGTCGGGAAACACACCTATGTGCTGCTTTGCTGCCATCTTGTGGTAGCTTGGTGGCGAGGAACTAAGTTGAAGTGAGTAGAGTAGCGCAATGGAGCGGTCAAAACTTGAGATCAGGGCACATCGAGACCAGGGGTGCCCAAGTCTGTTTTTGATGTCACGTGATTCAAATGATCAGCTCAAGCTTTGCAGAAGCCCGAGAACGATCCTGATCATTTCAATCAGCGTGTTGGAGTAGAGAGACGTCTAAAATATCCAGGCCCTCGAGGACCGGACTTGGACACCCCTGATTTAGACACGCTTTCCCTTCCAGCCCTCTCGATCATTTTGCTCCTCTTCAATCAAGCTCACATGTTTTCGTTTTTGGTCGATGGCTGAGATTCAAACCGCGAACCTGTGAATTGTGACACAGATGTGCGAACCGCTAACTCGCCATGTTGCCCAATCATTTCGATCAAGGGTAGGAAACACCCGAGTTCCCTACCCCTGAATTAGATGATTTCATTCCATGTGTCCATTTCGTCTTGATGTACTTTTCAAATGTGGGTTCCATTTGTCAGCGATTTTGAGAACTGTGAGCGTCATCCGGCGCAGGTGTGAGCGTCATTGTGACTGACGAGTTGCGACTTCCAGCTTCTTTGCCGCGTTGTCTGTTTGCTTGAACTACCGGCCCGGCGGCCTCCGAGGTCGGGCGGCCTGCAATGGCGCAGCTGCAGCTGCTCGTCATCCGCCGTCCTCGCATGTCACTTGGAAAGCGGCCACCCCAGTGCGGCTTGGATCTCAAGCCTGGCGGCTTTTGGGACGCGCTGATGCTTGATGGCGCGGCCCCGAGCGCTCTCCCACCGTCGGCACATGCGGCGACGAGAACGGCAAGAACCAGAAGAAGACAACCAATGGCCTTTGAAGTGTCAGACTTCTTTCCATTCAAACTTTTCCGAATCAAAGCTTGCGGCGACTTCTACTTTGTTTCTCACAGACGCGCTAAATGTGACAGCGCCACGAAATAAATTATTCTGAATGTTCATTCCGCGCCGCTGCTTTTTTGTGAAAAGCCTGGCGATTGTTTTAACAAAGTACACAACATAGGACAACACTGCTGAGACTCTTTGCGATGTGGTCACTTTGGGACTTGAAGCCTACTGAAGATGACTTCTGAAGAAAACAAATTGGCCTTATTCTCAAAGGAGGAGACACCCTGAAGTGGTTGCCAGGGGCCAAGTCTTTCATTGAAGACATCCAAACAATGCATTTTTCTTGAAACTAAAGACAAATCTCTCCCACAAAACAGTCAACTGTGAACCGCCATTGACGGCTACAAAAGATTAATTTTCACTGGGCTGGCATTGAATAAGTAAAAAAAAAAAAAATTGTATGAATTCTCAGTCTATTTAAAAAAAGCCCCCCCCCCCCAAAAAAATAAAACACAGTTCAAATGAATTCTCGAAAGACAATGTGAGCAATGCCAGATTCTTTTGGGTGGTGGGCGAGGAGGTGGGAGGAATTCCCAATTTGAAAAAAAATCTCTTTCGCCTTTGAGGCCTAATCTTGGTTGGCTCTTCTCATGCCTGTTCTGTCACTGTTGTTTTGGTTTGTTTGTTATTTGGCATCCTCGGCGACTTTGAGAGTTGCGAGGGAAAACGTTCTCACGCCTTGTTCAAGTCGGCGCTGACAAGACGCCCGACAAAGCTCACCTGCCAAGTCACCGGCACACGACGGACTTCCGGCCGCTTGAGTTCCGCCCTCTCGTGCCATCGTCGTCTGGTCTGAGCTGGAGGCCCCCAAGCACCATGTGTGCGACACATTACCAGTAACGAGGGACACATGTGTTCCTCGTCGTGTGAAGACGATGCTGCGGTGTTGTGGAGTATTATTGATTTGTTTTTTTTAGCTTGAGGCTTGTTGCTTCATATGCGCTGCGGTTTGGCCGCTAACTATAGCGCAGAGGACGGAGGCATGGCGTCACGGCCACTTGTAAAAAAAAAAAAAAAAGGACTTTTCATGCTGTCACCGAGCACAAATTACCACACGTGTGTGCGCAGCCGGTCAAGGACGGTTCACGGTGCACTTGCTATACTTGGTGTTCACCGCGGAAGACTGCGGGGGACGGACGGCTGCACGCCGGCGTACGCTTGCCCATATTTGAGAGCGGTTCGTCACCAGTTTACCCACAAAATCGTGCCGAAACTTTACCGGCTGGTTGGTCTCAAAATCACTCCGCCGGCCCCGCTCCTATTGGATGCGCCCTCTGACGTCACAGAGACGGCGCTCATGAGTTTAATATTAATATTATATTATAACTTAAACTAGGTGGCCGTGGAGCGTTCAAATCAACCTACCCGAGAGAAAATATCACTTTAAAAATAAAAGAAAACACTTGGCTCGCATAAGGAGATAAGATTCGATTTTATGATGTCAGATCGGAAAGGAAGCCAATAAAGAGTAGTAAACACTCAAAAGCTGAGGAAAATGTTCATCCTGGCCAAAGTTTTATAAAACAAAACCATAAAATTGTCTTGATGACTAAAACGCCATTTTAAATATGTGTATTCAAACATCATTATTCACATTGTGGACATTGTGATGGACATTTAATGGCCTTCCAGGTGGTTCGTGATAGAGTCACTTTTTTTTTCCTTTTTGGATACCTTCCCATTTGATTTACACTTGACACTTCCTTACTCTGAATTACGTCCGGTTGGTGTCATACAAGAATGTGATGGCGGGGGAGTTGGAGGTGAGGGGTGGGCGGTTGGGGCCCCTAGAATGCACCGTCCCCCGAGGGCCCTGTTGGAGCTTGTTCCAAACCTGCAGACGAGCAAAAGAGCAACAAGACATCCAGCTACGATTCAACTGTTGAAAACAAACATGTCTGCCACACATGGAGGGTGAGGGGCGGTGTGTGTGTGTGTGTTGAGGGGATGGGGGGAGGGGGGGGGGTCTGCGTGTTCCCTCCCACACCTCCTCATTAATCTGGGACCAGATGATGAGGTTGAAGAAAAACACAGGCGCCATAAAAATAAGCAGCCAGAATGTGAAAGGAAAGCTGCGGCTGGGAGGAATTCTCCAGGGAGAATGTTATCACCGCCGCTGAGGGGCACATTGTTCACTCTTCCTGACAGGCCCAATGCGTGGGTGTGGAGTGGGGGGGAAGGGCATGGGGGGAGGGCATCGGGCACCTGGAAGGCTGAGGGAGGGTAATGAGTGGGGCTCTGCTCCGCTGCTTCCATACCTCTGTTTGTGGCTGGTACGGAAAACTAAGACAAATGGAAACACCTTCTTGAAAATATCTTCGTTCTCAAAGTATATGAAAAAGAATATTGTAAACGTTTTTTTTTTTGGGGGGGGGGTGATTCTCCAAAGATTGTTGAAAAAAATATGTCCGTATTCTTTTTGAGAATTATTTTCGTCTTCATTTTTTTTCTTCATCCAAGTGACGACGCGTGAAGGTGTGACGTAATCAAGCTTCGTTGCGAACACGTGACCTCACTCCACACAAAGTCACGGAATTCACGCGAGCCGCACGCGCGCTCATTTTCAATTTGGTGGATGTTGTCGAATCAGAACCTTCAATCATTCACTCATGTCTGCCTGTGAACTTTACTCCGCATTCCTCAATTGAAATTAAACACACGCGGAATAAAAGTTTTGTCTCTTCGAGAGCAAAAAAAAAAAAAAAGTTGAGAAAAGCAAGCACAGGCAAGAAAAAAAAATGTTTGGAAAGTCCCCAAAAGTTTGTTACGTTGTGATTGGTCAGCTGTCAGCTTTCTGGCGTGCCCATATGGCCAACCCCATCGTGTGTGTGTGTGTGTGTGTGAGAGAGAGAGAGAGAGAGAGAGAGAGAGAGAGAGAGAGAGAGAGAGAGAGAGAGAGAGAGAGAGAGAATGAAATTGTCCGCAGGGCGTCGACTTTGGCGCGTCGACAGGAAAGGAAAATTTATCAGATGATGTCCGCATTTGGATTCTTTCTTTTGTTTTTGTAGCGAACCCAGAGCCAACTTCAGCCAGTAAACACGTCAGCTCGCTGCATCAAAGACCTAATGAAGTTGTTGGCTTCCATTTTATTTATTTATTCATTTGTTTGAACGCTCATGTGTGTCAACTCTGAAATGATGTCTTTCTCTTTCTATTCATCACGTAGTTGTAATAACCCATCTTGGTCACGAGTCGTTTTAGCTTCTTTGACTGACATGCGCGCGCTTGTGTGTGTGTGTGTGCGTGTGTTTGCGAGAAATTGTTGGGTAGAAAATTGGGCACACGTGACTTTTTAACCACCTTATTAAAAAGGACATAAAAGTCAGTCCAGACATTTTCTGGTGAGTCAGCATTAAGGGAGGATGCTGTCATGGACTACCATGACCTCTGCGTGCACACGCACACACACACAAACACACTTGCCCCCAGCAGGCCTCTTAGGCGTAGCACTGGAGTGTAACTCCAGCGTCGAGTGTCTCCCACGGGCCTGCGAGGCGTACGATTCCAGATTGAGGCCAGATGTTCATGTTCCTCATGTGGCCGCCAGCCTACCAGCGGCATCCATTTATAGGCGGCGGAGTTTCCAACATGCAACAGGACGCCGCCGACGGCGGGGTGGTGATCACAGGGGTCGGCGGGCCGGCGGGGATCTTCCCGTTCTGACGCAGACGCTATAAAGTTGTAAAGTGGACACACACGCGGGCGCAGTGGGAGTTGAAATGAGTTACACCAGGATGGGGGGGTTAGGGGGGGGTGAAGAGAAAAACTGTCCACTTGTAAATGTCTGACTTTCACTGTCTTTCCTGCATCTCTTTTGTGAGACTTTGTCCCCGGACGGCACACAGGAAGCGGTTACACGCAGAGGAAAGAAAAGGGGGGGACTTAGCCTCAAAGCTAACATGTTAGCCTTGTGATTCTTTGTGTGCGTGTGTTTATAGTCTATCTCAAGTGTGTCGGCACAGCGGGCTAATAATGAAAGCAACATGCTAACAGCAGGCAGTGAAAGCAACATGTGTACTTTGGACTTGACTGCCTTTTCTTCTTTCCTTTCCTTTTGTTTTATATTATTTGTACTTGTGCCCCTGAGCGACTTTATGCAGTCAGTCAACATCCAAACGGCACTTTTTCCTTCGCTGCTCCTTATAGCGTGTCGACGTGTTCGCGTGTCAACGCCAAAGTGACCCGTCTGCATCCGTTTGCTATTCCCTCTTTGCAAATTAGCAGCCTGACACTTGATATGAACACCACGCGGTCGCTTTGACCTTCAGAAGCTTTGAAATGTTTTCCCATTTCGATCCAATTCTCTCGCCGCTGGGTGGCTCCGTGTGGATGTGATCTTGCTAGCTGCTCAGCCGTTCATATTGATTTTTAATTTTCTTAAGGAGATCACCTGAGGTAAAGGCTGATTAGCAACAGGGTGAAAAACGTCACAAAGATGTCATCTAACATCACAATGTGACATCATTGCATGGCATCTTTGTGTGAGATCGCGTTACGACGTAGCGTTACGACGTAGCGTTACGACGTAGCGTTACGACGTAGCGTTACGACGTAGCGTTACGACGTAGCGTTACGACGTAACGGGAGGTTGTTGCATTACATCGTTGTCCTGCGTCATTGTGTTACATCATTGTTAGGTCGTTGCGCTTGATTATCGTGTTGCCGTATTACGATGCTGCGGGATGTCATTGCGTCACGTCATTTTGTTACACGAATGCATTCTATAATTACGTTACGTGACATCACGGCATTACTTCGTAGCACGGTCGCACGTGTTTCATCTTTCACATCGTTGCGGCGCATCAGTGTGTAACGCCGCGTTCACCGTCGCATCACATTGCCGCGCAACATTGTTGCGCGACTTCGCAACATCATATTGGAGCGTCGAGTTATCTCATGACATCGTCACGTTACATGCTAGCATCAAAGTGTAATTTCCCATCTGACAACACTAAAAAGATTTGTGTAGCACACAAAGGCAGCAACGCGGAGGAACCCCCCGGCCGGCGCTCCTCCTCGGCGGCGGGGAGGGTTGAGGAGGTTCGGCTGCAGCTGCGGAGCCTCCCCCGTCCCGTCCCGTTCCGTCCCGTCCCCCCACCTTCCCTCCTCCTCCTCCTCGTCAAACTTTCTCCTCCTCCACTTCGTCACTCCTCCCCGGCCATTGTTTGTGCTCGCGTGCTGGAAGTCTGTGGGGCTGCCTGTGGCCGCGTACCGGGCGGCGCTCTGTCGCCATGACGGGCTCCGCTCCGCAGTTCGGAGTCGTGCTGCTGCTGGCCGTCCTGCTGCAGACCGTCCTCGTCGCCGTCACCGTGTTGCACTTCAGCACCTCGCTCAACGCCGTAAGTCGCACCAGCGCGCCGCGCGCACACCGGGGAGACGAGCGAGCGAGCGAGTAGGTGCGTGCCAAGTCAATAACATTGCGCGGAAGTCAATAAAGTAAGTCGTGAGGACGTCAATAAGTCAACGAGTAAGTAAACACGCGAGTGGGTCGATAACTAAGGACGTGCGCGAGTAATTAAGTCGGCTAAATGAGTCAACAAATGAGTAAATGCGAAGTAAATAAGTGAGTGAGCGAGGGAGGGAGTGTGTAAGTAGGTGAGTGGGTGAGGACGTAAATAACTAATAACCAAATGATGTAAGCAAATGAATAAATAAGTAAACGCGTAAGTGAGCAAAGGAGTATAACTAAAGTGTGTACGTCAGTAAATGAATACGTAAGTAAATGAGTAAATAAATAAGTAAATAAGTGAGTGAGCTAGTAAGTACTTAAGTAGATAAGTAAATAAGTACGCCAGTAAACGCGTAAATGAGTGAGTAAATAAGCGAGTAAGTACGTGAGTGGGCGACTAAGTAAACAACTATAAGTAAGTATAAAAGTAAACGAGCAAGTAGTCAAGAAGTGAGTGAGCGTGAGAAAATTAGTGAGTAATTATGCAAAAGTAAATGAGCGCGTGAGTTAGCTATTTAGTTAGTGAGTTAAGAAGCAAGCCTGCAAGTACGTTTTTCCTCTCACTCTGTATACACTCGAAAACCGATCCCTTTACGTGCTACTCCGTGTTTTGTCAAAATAGATTCGCAACTTTTTTTCAACCTTTGCAGATGTAAGAAACACCATTAAAAAAATTTACTTTAGCGCAAGCAGTTCTTCTCCTTTCATTGGTTTTATTTGAACACAACTTATCAGTGTTTTTGCTTTCTGTTGCCACCTCTGTTGTTTTGAAAGATGTCAATCGCCCCAGAAGAACTTCGAGTTGTCGTTTTTGAACTCCTGCGAGCAATCAGGAAGTTATTTTTTTATTTTTTTTATAACCGTGCATGTGCGCGTGCATGTGCCTTCTGGATCACGTCCAACAAAGTCAAGTTGAATCAGTGAGGCATGCGAAGTGCAGAGTAATGGATACTCATGAGCAGCGCAATCCTCAGCTCGACTGTCTTTCCCAATCTTTAATTCGCCACAGCTAACGTAGTCTTCTTCTTCTTATTATTATTATTATTATTACTACGATGGTAACATTTCATCTTTTTATCATCGAACAATCTCACGGCACACCATCAAACAAATGAGCACAAAAAGTATTGATGGTGACGATCTTCCAAAATAAAGCGGCTGTGAAATGCGGGCCTGTTTTGTCAAGCACAAACACGTGTTTCCAAATTCGGTTGTCTCAATGTCAACAGGCGGGACACTCGGGCTTGTCGCGGTGTCCCAATGTCACTATACGTCACTGGCATGGATAGGATGTCGGAAATGAATTGGCATTTGGCAGATAGGCGAGTCATGAACTTACTCATCTCCTCGTCTTCTTCATCTTGACGCCGTGCAGCTGAAGGAGACGTTCTCCAGGAGCAGCGTGTCGTGCCTGAAAGGGTGGGACCTTCAGAGCACGTCGGCGGTGCCAGACGATCCGTGCTGGCAAGTCACGCAGCAGTTCCACCAACTCATCGAGAAGGTCAGCCGTGCGCAAACTTCAGTTTTTTTCTTCAGCGGCAGGAAACGGCTGCGGAGGCACAAGCGAGAAATCGTTTCTAGTCATCATAAATTATCCTAATAATAATAATAGTAATAATAATGTGGTTTTACATTAGAATATCAAATAAAGTTCTGATGAAGTGACGACAAGAACCACGGAGAATGGAGAGCATTTCAGCCCTTTTGAAGATCTCAAGGCTTCGATTAATTTTACACGCAATTTTGTTTGACAGCGCGCAATGACAATAAAAACCCTAATTCTCATGTTTGTAATTGCGCTGGCACATCTGGATTGCATCACGCTGAAAGCTCTTTCTAATCATTTCCATGACTTTGCTTCTCGCAAATACATTTTCAGACATGTAAAATGCAGCCACAATAAGACGCTAATGCGAAAACAATAAGCGCTCGGATTGTCAATCAGATGTCAGTGTGCAGGGTGTTCTTTGTCAAGGCAGAACCGGTCACGATGAAACATGATCACACTGCGTCAATGTGCACAGTCGTCATTGTAATTGATTCTAAGATGTCACCCGTTGGCGACGTAGCACAATGGAAAATACTTGTCAATCTCCGATTCGCTTTCTCGACTCAGTTTGTCATCTTGCTAAATGTTAGCATACCATGCTAGCATTTGAGACATTCTCTTGTCCAAAAAAATACCTGACCATAAGGACAGATTTAAAAACCTTCTCTATTCATTTTGTAAGCCTGCTGTGGGTTAGCATCTGAGCTATTCTCTTTCATACGAGTACCTGACCACGGCGGAAAAAATATATTGACAAATCTTAAAAGGGGAACTAAAATTATCAAAATTTTCTGTAGCATGTTAAAGGTGCATATCTTCTTGATCTGCTGCCCTGTACTAAAATGTAAATAGTATTTATTCTTTAAAAAAAAAAATTGTAAAACGCAGGGACCGGCATGTTTACATGTTTTCCCTCCCGTGACAAATTTCACATCGGTCAGACCCACTTTACAGTACGTAGCCTTGCAACAGCTCTTCAGGAATCATTCAGGTTGCTTTTCCAACTTTTATTGCCACCAAGGTTGACACAACACCATCCTGAAATTCACATGCGGTCGCAATCATGTTTGATACGCAAAAAAAAAATTAAAAAATCACACGTGAATGTTTCGAGTTTATAATAACATTTCTTTCATGCAGCATCCGAATCACTGTAATGTTAGCATTGGCGTTAAAAAAAAAAAAAGTTCAAGATGTTAATCGCAGTGACACACAATGAAGTCATTGACGTCTGCGCGTGTGATGTGATCCCCTGCGCTTGAATCGTCCGTTGGAATGCGCGCACCTGCGCATGCGCACGCACACACACAGAAGAGGCTTGTGCCACCGTCAAAGCAGGAAGTTCTCATCCCGTAAAAATGAAGAAATAAATAGACTGTAAAAAGGTGAGGGCGCATTGCTAAGGGATTCGAAACCTGCCGGACATTCAAATACATATCACAAAAGCAGCGAAAGACTTGAAATTGAATACAGACTATATGTGGACTTGATTAGTTTTTTTGCGGGGGGG